AATTGCTGCACAGCAAAGCACCACAAACTTAAGTGGTTTAGAACAATAATCATTTTGTTTGCTCAGAATTACGAGGGTCAGTAATTTCGGCTGGATCATATGGTGGTTTTTCTGCTGTTCTCACCTGGGTTCACTCACGTAGCTACTGTGATCTAGCTGCTCAACTGGAACTAAAGTGGCTTTCTTGCCCTATCTGTGGTTGATGGTGGGTATTGGCTGGGTTTCTCATGCCACATGGTATCTCATCCTCGAGAAAACTGCCCTGGGCTTCTTTATAGTGATCTCAGAGTTCAAAGAAGACAGAGCAGAAGTTCAATCTTCAGCCTGGAAGTGACATAGCAATCCTTCTGCTACATTCTCTTGATCTGAACAAGTCACAAAGCCCACGCAGATTCAAAAGGTGGGAAATTGACTTCACCTCTTGACAAGAGGATGGACAACGTCACATTGCAAAAGGGACACGCGTCCGGGGATGAGAGGAGTTACCACATTCATCCTTGAAAACACCCTTCAGTTATATTTTCAAATGCACGAATATGCCACACAAGAAAGCAACAAATGTTCATGTGTATATGGTGTGTTTGTGTGTATATATCTCTTGTAAATAATAATTTCAGATGTATGAATTGTATGGCGTGGTGGGAGGGAGATGTATATATGGTAGGGAATTAGCAAAGCAATTTAGGACAACCCTATAAATTGTATTCATTGCTTCTTTGCTTTGTGTTGGAGAATCCAAGTCAAAATAGAATTCTATTGTACACTCTGTTAGAGCATAAGTTTTAAGTTAGAGCGTAAGTACTCTCTTTCTGAGAGTGATATTTTGTAGCAAGGTATTTGTATTTCTAGCAGGCGCACGCGCGCGGGCACACACACACACACACACACACACAAAACCTCTGAAAGAACTGATGAGGTAAGATACCAACTGAATGCTTATGGGCTAATGCTTCTTCCCATAATATGCCCTCGGCCTTTGCAATCTCCAGTTGTTATTAATTTTTCTTTTATCTTCTCACATATTAAAAGTAGGTGTAGAGCGATGGCCAAGGAAATCAGCAAATCCTTTTCAAAAAGCAACTATAAAGCGGGACAAAACTGATCCATTGTGTGTATGTTGTTTTCATACAACAATCAGAGAAGGATTTACGCTTGAAAAACTGTTGAACTTCAGGTAAAAACAGTAGAGTTCTGTGACATTCTTTCCTGGGACTTCTCCTGTCTCAGGGTAAAACTGCCAGGATGGAGCAAACCATGAGGACCAGCCTCTTTCCTGTTAAAGAAACTCACTCAGTGTGGAACACAGCAGCAATGTTAATGAAAGTGACTTTTTGGAGGCTGTGAGTTGAGACAAGCCAAATGTTCTTAGCCCGAGGTTGCAGCTGTTAGGGCAGGCATACTCCTGGCTGAGAAGGGAAAGGTCACAAGCTCTTCACGCATTAAATACATCCTTAAATTTTCATCAGAAGACCTAGCCCCAGGCAAGAACTGATCTGCTTTCTGTCTCTGAAAATTTGCCTTTTCTGGACTTTTCATATAAGTGGAATCATACAATAGGTAATCTTTTTACATATATCTCCTTTCACTTAGCATAATGGTTTCTAAGTTCTTCCACATTGTACCGTGTAGCGGAAGTGTGTTCTTTTCAATCATGAAATGATTTTCTGTTGCATGGATATATCACATTTTGTTACTCCATTTACCATTGATATTCATTTGGACTATTTACAGATTTTTCACTATTATTAATAATGTTTCTATCAAAATTCACATGTAAGTCTTTAAATGTACATATGTTTGCATTTTTTTCTGATTAGATGTTAAGGAGCAGAATTCTTGAGGCATATAGTAATTCTGTATACTTCCTTTTGAGCAACAGCCAAACTCTTTTTCAAAGTGGCTGTACATTTCACATTCCCACTAGCAATGTGTGAGGATTCCAATTTCTCCACATTCTTGTCAACACTTGTGTTTATCCATCTTTTATTCCATTCAAGTGTGTGTGTAATGATATCTCATTGTGGTTTTAATTTTCATTTCCCTGAAGCCTAATGATACTGAGCATTTTTTTTTCATGTACTTATTGGCCACGTACACCTTTTTTGATGAACTGTCTATTCAAATCTTCTGCCCTCTAATTTTTTCATCTTATGACTTAGTGGTAAGTGTATTTATATATTTCAGATTACAGTCCTTTATTAGATATGTGATTTGCAAATACTTTTTTCTGTTTGACACTTGCCTTTCATTTTCTTATCATTGTCTTTTGAAGTGTTAAACTTTGAACTTTTTATGAAGTCCAATGTATCGTAGCTTTTAAAAAGTGAATTGTGCTTTTCGTATTGTGTCTAAGAATTTTTTGCCCAACCAAAGGTAGGGATTTTCTCCTGTGTTTTCTTCTTGAAATGGTACAGTAATAATTTTTACATTTAGGCCTATGATTTATTTAGAGTTAATATTTTTGTTTAGAATGAGGTAAGGGCTGAAGTTCAAGTTTTTGTTTGTTTGTTTGTTGTATGTGGACACACAATTATTCCAGTGCTACTTGTTGTGAAGGCTGTCTTTTTTTGCATTGAATGATTTTGATCACTTTGTAAAAAAAATCAATTGACTGCAAATATAAGAATTGACTTCTGGATTCTCACTTATGTCCAGTTGAGTCAACTGATCTATATGCCTATATTTGTGCCAGTACCACAGTCTTGATTACTCTGGCCTTGTAGTAAGTTTCAAATTTAAGTGGTATAACTATTTCACCATTTTTCTTCTTTTAAACAATTGTTTTGGCTATGCTACCTCCATTGAATTTCCATACTACACATCTATTTCATGCTAGATATTTTCCCACAGGTCTCTGAGGGTCTGTTTATTTTTCTCCAACCTTCTCTCTCTGTGTTCTTCAGATGAGATCATTTCTATTGGTCTATTTTCAAGTTTCCTGATTCTTTGATCTGTCCTCCTCAGTTTTCACTTGTGTTACTCTAGTGAAATTTCCATATATACATTTTTACGTATACATACAAATGCATATAATCACTTACTGTATGTTTTACCCAGCCTACCTTTCACTTTTTATATTTATTCTCATTATCATTATTCCATATATTCATCTTTAGGTAGTAGATTTTTTTCTCACTTTTTTCATAATCTCCGTTGTCCTTGAAATAACAAACTTCTTTTTTATAACACTTTAAACTTTCTTTCTGAGATTCTTTCCAAGTAAATATTTGTTTTGCTTTTGTTGTTTAGATGTATACAACATGATTACTTTGATATATTTATGCATAGTGAAATTGTTACTATGGTCAAGTAAATTAACAAATATTCAGCATCTACCACAATTTCTCTATCCCCCATCATCTGTTGAGAGACACTGAGGTTGTTTCCATGTCTTGGCTATTGTGAATAATGCAGCAATGAACATGGGAGTGCAGGTACCTCTAAAAGGTGCTGATAATACCAGAAAAGTGCTTGCTGGGTCATATAATATAGTTCTATTATTCATTTTTTGATCTTCTTCCATACTGTTTTCTGTAATGGCTGTACCAGTTTACATTAAAATGGTATAATATACTCACATAACAACAGTTACATAGAACAATGAAATAGAAAAAGTAGCCCGGAAATAAAGCCAAGCACATAGGGCCAATTAATTTTCGACAAGGACACCAAGAAGACACACGGGGAAAAGACAGTCTCCTCAATGAATGATGGGGAAATAGGATTCCACATGCAAAAGAATGAAATTGGACCCTTATCTCACACCATACACAAAAATCAGCTCAAAGGCCTAAACACAAGGACTAAATCCATAAAATTTATAGAATAATCCATAGGGGACAAGCTTCTTGACATTAGTTTTGGCAAGGATTTTTTTGGATATTACACCAAAAGTTCAAGCTACCAAAGTAAACATAAACAATTTGGACTACATCAACCTAAAAAGCTTCTGCACAGCAAAGGAAACAATCCACAAAGTGAAAAGGTGGCCTACAGATTTGGAGAAAATATTTGCAAATCATATTTCTCATCAACAGTTAACAGAGAAATGTATAAGAAGTTCATGCAACTCAATAACAACAACAAAAAAAACCTGATTGAAAAATGGGCCAAGAACTTGAATCAACATTGCTTCCTCTGCACTTTCTGATGGACACTTCAGATTTCCACACCTGCCAAATAAATCTCATCGATCTCAGGAAATAACCTTAAATGTTTGCCATTAATAAGGTTTATTAAAGTATAATACATCAAACTGATGGGGTCACTAAACATTTTCCAAGGTCTGTAAATGCATTGTTGCTTAATTATTATTTCCACAACTAACAAAAGAACACACAATATGAAATATAATCCTTAATTTTAAAGTAAAAGCAATTTACTATTAATAAGACCACATTTGCTTTGCAATGAGTAAGGAGTTGAGCACTGATAGAAATTTTCAAATGACCCAAATTTGGAACTTAATTTTGTGCACTCCTAGACTCTTGGCACCATGATTCTGTATTGATTCTTGATTGGGGAGCCACTCCCTTTGAGCTATTGAGGTTCATTGCTGTCTGTTGAACAAATGCTAAAAGAGCATTTTCAGATACTTTTACAGTGAGTTTAATAAAGGCATTCTGACGATATCCACATTTTCTTATCACTTTGAAGTAGATTATCTGATTTTGAGACACACGAGTCTAGAAAGCTAATTTATCAAAATTTATATTTTTTCTCCTTTCTCTATTAAGAGTATTTAAAATTCTCACATCTCTCTTTCATTTACTTAAATATTTTCTCAAATTTTCTATCTTGATGACCAACAATATTTCCTACTTGAAGTTTTTGAATTAGGTAATAATTTTTTAATGCTAAACAATTTAATCATATAGTATTCCTTTAAAGCTCATTTGCCAGTTGCAGAATTGAGTTGTTAGACTGGAAGAAAATATGAAGTGCCAGAATTTCTGCAGCCTGCCTCCCAAAACATTCATTAGCTTGCACTTTAACTGTACCTGTTCAGATCCTTCCGCAGATCACAGCTGAATGAATAAGGTTATCCAATTAAACATCTTTATATCCTATGGAAAACAAAACAAAACACAATTTTATACCACTCAGTAACTCTTGTACTCAGACACAGGCACTCTAACTTTCATTTTGTATTGCTGAAGTTTGTATTTCTACAAATCAAAGTGTCAGGGCGGTGCTATACAGAGAACCAGAGAAGCAATCTGACCCTGAGGAAGCATACCAGGACTCATGTGAAGAAAAGCAGACAGACTGTAAGAAAAGCAAGCCTCATAAGCGAATGACCAGATGAGCAGAGTATTTTTGAAGACTTCCAAAAGGAGTGCATTTGAATAGTAGTCAAAATGGACATATTTAACTATACCTAAAAATAAGTGAATCATGAGTTCATCAGAAATGTGCTTCTTAGTCTATAGTCATGTTTAAACAATATTAAATCAATAAAACAGTAGCAACAGCATAGTTTGTGAGAGTCTCAAATTCCTTTATAAATATGGAGAAGGAAAATAGTACAGGAAAATTTTTAGGAGGCCAGATACGGTGGCTCACACCTGTAACCCCACCACTTTGGGAGGCCAAGGTGGGCAGATCACCTGCGGTCAGGAGTTTGAGATCAGCCTGGCCAACATGGTGAAACCTCATTTCTACTAAAAATACAAAAATAAGCCGAGCGTAGTGGCAGGCGCCCATAGTCCCAGCTACTAAGGAGGCTGAGGTAGGAGAATTGCTTGAACCCAGGAGGCAGAGGTTGCAGTTAATCGAGATTGTGCCACTGCACTCCAGCCTGGGTGACAGAATGAGATGCCATCTCATTTAAAAAAAGAAAAGAAAAAAAGAAAAAAAAAATTTAGAGGACAGTATTATCAACAAAACCAGGTGACAAAATATCTCCTCAAAACCCCAGAATACGCATAAATAGAATCAGACTGAGGCTATATGATCAGCAGCTATGCAGAAATAGAAGAAAAGAAATTTATTATTTCGGAAGAAAAGAGTTCTGATGATCCTCTGAGACAGAGTTCAAAAGTTGCTTTAAAATCTTCATCTCTAAAAGAAAAGGACCACAATCTGAGTGGGAATCTCAGCAAGCAGACTATAGAACCAAATGGTGAAATGGATGAGTACACGATAGCAAGATCACAGAACGTAGAAGGCTACAGCAAGATCAGAGGATGCCCAAGTTCTCAGTAATTAGAAACATACGAAAAAATCATCCTTTCATTAGGAAAGCGCCCCTTCTAAGGAAATATCGCTGAAAGTGGACTCCAAATTGGGCAAGCAAGAACGCTGGTAGTACAGAAGAGAAAAGGCTTACACACTAGTGAGGGGGAGTTCAGACGAAATTGACCTCAGAAAGCTTTTTTAGAGGTAGTTAGAAAGACTGACACTACTATTCATACTTCATAGGACCCATGATGAGGGAAATTTTCAACACTGAAGGTCAAAATGCATACTGCTTCACTCACAACCGTAAATACTAACAGCTCTTTCTAAATACACAAGAAAATCCATCTTATTTAAACATGAGCAACAGAAAATGTTTGTAATTGATTGCTACTGAATGAGTGTAAAAATAAATACTCAAATAACTTACCAACAAAGGATCACCCCAGAAAAAGGTGTAACTTAGTATTTCAAAATTGGCTCAAAGGAGCTAAGAAATTACGGAAGCTACAAATGAACAGTGTGAAGCACAAAAAAAGGAAATTCCAAAAATAATATAACCAGACAAAGGGAGGATATTAAGGAATAGTGGAGAGAGATTGGGAAAGGAATAAAATCACACATAAAAACTAGACTAGGCCGGGCGTGGTGGCTCACGCCTGTAATCACAGCACTTTGGGAGGCTGAAGAGGGTGGAACACAAGGTCAGAAGTTCAAGACCAGCCTGGCCAAGATGGTGAAACCATGTCTCTACTAAAAATACAAAACCTAGCTGGACGTGGTGGTGAGTGCCTGTAATCCCAGCTACTTGGGAGGCCGAGGCACAGAATTGCTTGAACCCAGGAGGCGGAGGTTGCAGTGAGCCGAGATTGTGCCACTGCACTCCAGCCTGGACTACAGAGCAAGACTCCTTCTCAAAAAAACAAAACAAACAAACAAACAAAACCCACAAAAACCGAGAAACACTAGAGAAATACAGGAAGAAAAATGAAGTTTAAAAAGGAACACATTGTTAAAAAATCAGAAGTGTAAGGAAAAACATAGGAAAGGCTTCGTTGCGAAAAAGGTAAATATGGAAGAGAGGCCACGAAGAGACCACATAAATGTAAAAGAAAACTGAAGAATAAAGATGAAGTGCAATAAAGTGAGAAAAGGACACTCTAACCTGGGAAAATCAACTCAGAATCATCAACACCAAGACATTTCATGTAAATTAATTCAAATTCAGAGAAAGAGAAATAATCCTTTAGACATCCAAATAAAAAGAACATACAATTTGTAAAAAGAAAATCCGAATCGCCTCAGAGTGTTTGATATGAACACTTTGTACCAAACGACAATCAAGAAGCATTTTTAAATTCTCAAGGGGAAAAAAAATAAAAAATAAAAAAACATGAACTTAATGATTTTGTAAAAAGCTAACTGATCTTCAATTGCAAATTCCAAACAAAAATAGTCACAAATGTGCAATAAATTATGGTTTGTGCACACAATGCTATTAACAGCAGTTACCAGCAACAACACAGATAAATCTTAGAGCATAAGACGGAGTGGAAAAAGCAAATTACAATATGCTTTAGAAAGTCTGAATCCAGATTTATAAAGCTCAAGAATAAGCAAAACAAAAATATGTTGTTTAGGGATACACATATGTGATAAATCTACCAAAAGCAACAACAACAAAAATAAGAGAAGAGAAAAAAACAGTGGTTTCTTCCTATGGGGATGGAGAAGGATGACACAGCAGTGGGGTGGCCAAGTTCTAGCTCTTCACAGCTGGCCATTTTGTTTTTGTTGTTGAGGTTTATTGTTCTTTATAGTCTTCCTAAGAAATATGTAGAAATATTTCCTAAGAAATATGTAGAAACGAGCCTTAGGTGGGCAATAAATAACTATAAAAAATACATCATAGGCCAGGCGCAATAGGTCATGCCTGTAATCCCAGCACTTTGGGAGGCCAAAGCAGGTGGATCACCTGAGGTCAGGAGTTCAAGACCAGCCTGGCCAACATGGTGAAACCCCAACTCTACTAAAAATACAAAAATAGCCAGGTGTGGTGGTGTGCACCTGTAATCCCAGCTGCTCGGAAGGCTGAGGCAGGAGAATCTCTTGAACCTTGGAGGCGGAGGTTGCAGTGAGCTGAGATTGTGCCACTGCACTCCAGCCTGGATGACAGAGTGAGACTCCGTCTCAAAACAAACAATCAATCAAACAAAAAAAGATCATAAAGACAGGTAGCCTTGAATATATGTGACTGTAGAACATAGATTAATTTGGGAGATAAGGGCAAAATATTATAAAATTGTACATGCTTTAACAGTGTACATACAATAAAACTAACAAAAGTGGAATGCGTGGAGAATATGTAAAGGGTAGAATAAGCTTGGCAATTGCCTCATAAGAATTAGGAGAAATTTTTTAAAATCATGTACAAATCAGATAATGGGAGAAAAGAAAAGGATGAGGAATAGGAAGTCACTGGGCAGTATCAATATTGATTATTACAGGGAACCTGTAAAGAGTATCTAAGAGAGATTAACTAAGGATATTATGTAAACGTGTTAGTATAAAAGTAACAATTAGGCAAACAAACCTCATAACTCCAAAATAAATACAAAAAAGGTAAATTGCAAAGCAAATAAACTTATGATGAAAGGCTTTATATGACTCCGTATTTTACAACTAACATTTAGAAATGTAAACTAAAACCATATAATGGAACTAAGATCACAGATATAAGTTATATGATTGTATGATCTTATGACCAATTCTGTGACCTGTCATATTAATAACAATATGGTTCTCACTGCTCTATTAAATGAAGGTGAATTTCAGATTAGCCAACAATGTAAACTTCAACTCTATGTTCTTACAAAACAGATCCATAAAACAGAAACTGAGAAACACTAAAAATGAAAGGACAAAGATATACCTGGCAAAGAGCAAATAAAAAGTTTAAAAGCATTAAACAAATGAGGGAGTACCTATTTCAATGTTAAAGGCTGTGATTTGTAATAATAATATAATAAAATGTAAGAATGAACCAAGAAAAAGAAAACTTAGAATTCAGGAAACAGGAGATCAAAGCCAGAAGGGAAAAGTATTGACTGAGTAGTGGTGAAATAATGTCCCAGGAGGACGAAGATGCAGCAGACCTAAAACGTAACGAGGGAAGATAGAGGAAGACAGAAAAAGCATGATACTAATACCTACCCCAATATACAGAATTATATTTGGAGGGAATTTATAATTTAAAGTATTTGGGAAATATTTGGGAATACATACTTAGAAAAGTTAGCAAGTGAAAAAATTAGGCAATGAACTCTAGGAGAAGAAAAAATATATATAGGCACACTTATATATACAAGACTGAAAATGTGATCACAGTGCATTAGATGTCTGTGCTATGAAAAATATTGGCAGTCACATTAATGTTAAAATTGAATATTCATTCATCCTAAACTGTGCTGTAACTAAAATGAGAATATGAGCAGGTAGAAAATGTGTGTATGGCAGTCAGAAAGAAAAACATAAGGGACTGTATCATGTCACAGGAGAAAATCAACATATTGTATACAATTGATTTTAAAAAGAAATAGCAGTTTAAGCATATTACTTAGAAAATCAATGAAGTACAATTTTACAATTCTTTGGGGTTGACGTGTTCCAGCCTTATTCCAGTCCCTGCAATAGTGAGTAACAGAGAAGTCCCAGCCTACACAGAGGTAACTTTCTTGTGGGGGCATATGAGCAATAAATAAATAAAAATTAAATGTATAGAATGATAGTTTTATGTGTCAACATGGCTAGGCTGTTAATTCAGTAATCATCCCCAGGTATTAACCACTAATTATAGGTGTTACTGTGCAGGTATTTCTTAAATGAA